AAAACAAATATTACTTTTAGTTTAAAATATTGCAAAAAAGCATTTTTTAAGACAGGGTGGGTGTTTATATGAGGTATTGATACATTTATTGATAGCTGATATTTGGCATTTTTAAGTAACTACCCATAACTGTAAAAATTACTTGACAAGTACAACATGACTGCCTTTTTTTTTATATTAATTTTTAAATACCCAGCAATCTTAAAAATTTATGAAAATATTCAAAGTAATCTAATATTTTATTAAATTTTAGGTACTTTGGTTTTATAGTCTTACAAAAATACTTGTTGAGAAAATGTTAGAAAATTACCAATAAATTTTAAACTTGCTTTAGTTACTGCTTTTATTTTCCAATAATGCCATGTATGGATGTCTGTATTTACAGAAATTGGCATATTTTACATGCACAAAATAAAATTCAAAATTCTTTTTAAAATACTGAGGATTGCTGTATTGTAGTAAGCTTTTGCATTTATGGTTAGTAAATATAGTTTTTACTTAATAGCAATATCATCTAACCATTACAAATTAATACAGACTTCTAAAAGATTGAAAATTTTATAAATTTTTATAATTAAAATGAAAACAATTCTTGTAAAAATTCATTAGTCATTGAAAAAATGTTTCTTAAGACAATAGTGTTTATAATATATCTTATTCATAAAAGTAATTAAATGCTTTTCTAATTGTGTCTTAATTTTGTTGCAGTTTTATCTTACTGTTTAGTAGATTTTCTGTAACTGGGGGGTCCTTTTTCAAAAAAAAAAAAAATTTGATGATTTAAATTCTCCAAGGTCTTGTTCTTATAACTACTATAAACATTAATTGGTACAAAAATCAATTATGTGATATTTCATAAAATTAAATAAGTGGGGGTGGGGAACAAATGTAAAATAAAAAAAAGACTTTTATTAAGACTTTCTGAAAAAGAAATGTTTAAGAAAGAATGTCATTTATTTGTGAATAAGTCCTGGAAGTTTCATTGAAATCTGACAGTTATCTGATTTTTGCAAGAATTTCCAAATTAATGTATTTTTTTCCCTGCAAAAAGACAAAAAAATTTGCCATACTAATTTATGCAAGAAAAACAATTTTTAACCAAAATTTCAAAGGTTTTAAAACGGATAAAATAATTAAATTTAATAATAAGAAAATCGTTTTGTTTTTCTTCTTAATATCATAAGATTTTGATGATAAAACTTTGTTTTTATTTAGTCTGAGGCATTTTTTTTATCATTTATGCTAGTTTTTTTTTTTTTTTTTTTTTTTTAATGAATCTAAATTTAAAATTCTCAGTGTCCCCTCTCCATTGTGTAGTTGCATTAGTATAAACATCACTTTGGTCCAGTGAAATTCTAAAGGACAAAACACATTATATGAAAACTTTTTTCACTTTGTCATAGTTTTTTTTTCCCCTAAAATTATTCTATATATATAAAAAATGTATATATTGTTTTTCCAACATCCTTATATAAAAAAATTTTCTAAGAAACCTGAAACCAACCCATGTCCCTTGATAATTTTTCCTTTGCTGCCATGTTTGGTGTAAGCTTAGGTGATCATGTCTCATTGTGATTCATGACTGCCTTGGCAGAAGAATTCCTGCTGTAGGTTACCATTACTTTCTGTGGTAGACTGGTTGACAACCAAGGCTGTAGGACCTTGTCTGTACTGTTATTTAACCATAGCTCAGTAATAACTGTACTTAATTTACTGAATAAAACATTCTAATAACACAGATTTGTCTCATATTCCAGCCTGAAGATGCCTAGTAAAAGAGGCAAAACATGTAGTTCAGTAGTTTTTTCTCTTTGACTTATCTCTATTTTTATAAGCTAAAATTTAGTTAACAAGTAAAAAAAGATTTGTTCAAACTTATCTACCTTACATAGTCTTGCAGAAATGCTATCTGCTTGTCAGTATATTAGATAAGTAAGATTGATTCATTTGTTTGTTTTCTTTTTCTTTTTTTTTTTTTTTCTTATGGCTTCTCAACGTTTTGCGGGCTATTTAAATCTTGAAAATATTTTTAGATTTTTAAAGATAGGTTTTACTGATACAAGTTCTATTAATTAACCCATAGCTGGGAGAAAAGGTGGATTCATACCTTTCCCAAGGGCATTTGCATAGACGACCAAGGCCAGTACACTCAAACCCTTGGGCATAATGACTTGTAACTTTGTGTTAGTGCAACCATTGATGGCTTCAAAACAGTTCTCTCTACCCATTTTCACTCCCAAGGCTTGGATCAAACCCTGGCATGATTTTCAGGCTTTTCCTAATTGTGCCGCACACTGGATCATCTCCACAGGCTGATTTAACAAAAAAAAAGGTCATCTCCTTGACAAATCAACTCTGGTAAGATTCATACCTCGGTTTTTTGGTTGGAACACCATGTTCTGACCATGCACACAACATAGCTGTATAAAAATAGATTAGATTTGTTTACTTATGGTGTGTAGTAAATGAGCAAATTTTGAATCCATTTTTGTTCAGTATTCAAGAAATCTGAAATGAATAAATGCTATTTTTTTAAAGTTAAATATTCCTTTGTTCGGTTACCATTATAGTTATCAGCACGGAGAGTGGAAGTTGTGGACCGGGTTCAAATTCTGGCCTACACTTTTGCCCAAACGCCCTTGGAAAAGGCTTCAATCCATTTCTTGTCTCCCCAATAGCGGGTTGATATTTTGGGTGTCAGCAAAAGTGCTAATGGGATAAGTAAAGATTACTAATTTCAGCCTCAACACTAATTAATTGCTAGCTGGGAAGTGCCACATGGAAATCTGAAGGCGTAATAGGATAACAAAAGATATCTTTCAAAAGCTAAGCAAAGTATTAAGAAACAGAAAAATTTTGTTAGAAACAAAGGAAAGAGTACTGAACTATTATGTAATCCTTCTATATGGCAGTGAATGATTGAAGGTGAAGAGACCTGAAGCAACAGAAATGTGATTCTACAGAAGGATGTCAAGAATACCAATGATAAAGTTTTAAAGAAAATCAAAACAAAAAGGGCACTTATACTTAACATCAAGAAGACAAGAAGAGATTTCTAGAAGCACATAATGAGGAAAGAGGGCTTGAAAAATTTGATACTCACAGGACATACTGAAGGTAAGGGCAGAGTAAAACAATGCATAACCTACCTAGCAAGTGCGAGTAAATGGATAGCAAAACAAGGTTTAGGAGAGATGGCAAAAACACAGAATTTATTAAGAGCTACAAAGGACAGGATATTGTGGAGAGCCATGATTACCTATGTTCTGATGGGACACAGCACATAGAAGAAGCAGCTTTACTGTTAAGGTTACCTCCAAAAGTTTTTTTTTTTTGACTTAAATATTCACTATCTGTCTATATTTCTGAGATGAGGTATTATGTACACTGTTTACATTGTTCGGACTATCATCCTCATCTTTATTGCCATATTTATCACGTTTCAGCCATTGTATGCTCTGGCTTTTTTCAGGTGGTTGGAATGTCGAACTGAACCTAAGGACACATGGCACAGTGGATAAAGGTGTTAGTTAGATCCAGTGACAGGACCCAAAGAGTGTGAGTTCAATACCTGGTTAAGGTAGTAGAGAACTTGAAGAGGAGAATTAACAGGAGATAACTGATAACTGACATCCGTTAGATATAGCACATGGAAATAGAACAGTCTACCCCAGTGAGCAAAATAAAGGGTTCAGTTCGACATTCCAACCACCTGAAGAAGGCCAGAGCATACAATGGCCGAAACGTTGTGATAAATATGGCTACAAAGATAAGGATGATAGTCTGAACAATTTAAATATTCACTCGTGCGGATTTGATGTTCATTTAAACATTTCAATGATTATTCATTATAATATTTTTATTTAATGATCAACTATTCAGAGCTTGGATGTGTAGGTAGTGTACTGGTTATCAGTACAGAAAGTAGAGGTAGCAGTCAGAGTTCAAATTCTAACCTTGTTTTTTATGTTCACCTGTGTACAAATGACCTTGAGAAAGGCTCAATTTAATTTATTTCTCCTTGGCTGTAAGATAAATAGCCAGGCTCTCTACCCTTGGTTGGCAGCCAGTTTAGGAAAAGGATTGCATTGAATTCAAAACCATGGAGAACCAAATTAGTAAATCACACGACTATCTTTCTTGCGAAAGTAATGGCAATTTGCAGATAATAAGGAAAAAAAATCTGTAGAGAGCCTGTGTTCTGAAAGGACATCACATTTTTAAAAAAAAAATACATTTGATTGGGGTGAGAGTGAGTCTTGTGTTTGTGGACTTCAAGATCAAGCAGAGGCATGGATGTGGCAAATGCAAAAAAAATTGAGGTATTGCTGCATGCCCTAAGTTAGTAGTAACATTGCATCAGCCCTGAGACCATGCCTGACTCAAGGGTCATCAATTGATGTAAGTCCTGAAGCTGTTTTTGCAGCACAGCAATAGTCATATGAATGTATTGTTATTTATCATATATATAAATAACAAACTCTTTACTAAAATTAAATTAGAATGAGAATTGAAATAAAATGTTTACACTGTGACATTTTAAACAGTGGACCTGTTATTCAGCCAGTTAATTGCTATCTTTGGCATGATCTCATTTATACATCTTAACAAAGGTACTATATTCATGTCATTTTAGAAATGTTTTCAATAGCTATGAAATTTCCACTTTCTGACCATAGCACTGGTTAGTTGGAATGGTATTAAATGGCAGGCAGTAACACTTGTACTTAAACCACAATGCTTGCCTATAACTTATTGGGAGCTTGTCCTTCAGGATGCACTGCCTTCAATATAAACAATGTTGTTCCCTGTGACTAATGCTACTCAACATGAACAATTAATTTTCAACGCCAATCCGCTAGTGAATGGTATATTTCAGCATGGTTGTCCTGACCTGGAGCTGTCCTTTTGATCTATCATGTTAGACGAAGTATGACCCGATAATGACAAGGAGACAAAAGTGTCACTGAGATTTAGCTCTATCGGGTAATTCAGATCTTGGCCATATCATGTTGAAACACCAGTTCTCGTCTGATCACCAAAGTTGAGCAACGTTGAACCTAGTCAGTAAGATGGGTGACTACTTGGGAATATCAGGTCCTGTAAGCTTAGGGGATGTGTGGTTAGTGTAATGAGTAGTGGCTTGGAATGAGAAATTGGAGAGCGGAGTTCAAATTCCAGTCAAGTTCATTACATTCACTTATGCGCAAATACCCTTGGGAAGAGTATGAATCCACCTTCTCTTCTCCCAGCTATGGGTTAAATAGTACGATTTGTATCTAAAAGATAAAGGAAAAAGGAAACAATCAGTGTTACAAGTACAAGTTCTAAGCCTTCCAAGTTGCCCTGATCCAGAACGGAAGAGGAAGCCTCAGCAAACCACATGACCATGCCAAATGAACTGTAGAGAGATCTGAGTTATGAGTACGCTTCCTCTTGTAAGTAGAAAATGTCATTGATTCCTTACATTAGGGTTACTCACTGTTCTGCTACCCAGGCTCCATTATGTTAATCTGAGTATATATGTGAACAATATAACTGTTTGAACTTCTGAGTTTAAGGATATCTTACTGTATTTTACTTATTCTTTTTTCAGATATTAATTTTAGACTATTTCAAAGCTTTTGCTTGATCAAAGGCAGTTGCAACATGTTTTTGCAAAACTAGAAAAAATGCTTTACTTCGGGGGAAAAAATGGATTTGGATATGTCTTGCATGTAAAATATTTGCAAAAAGAAAATGGCGGGTTTACGAGTACTACATTTAAAAAAGATAGATCTTAGAGTTGGATAGACTTTTGCAAGAATCTCTTTTAACCTATGCAAATTTGAATTGTCACTCAGTCTATAAAAAGTGCTTAAAGAGGCAACAGACAGAAGTGTGACTGGTGTAGCGACCAGGATACACATGTTGGATTATTTGACTTACGCTACTCTGTTGAAGGTTTGAGGAAACTGATTAGGGAAGCCACAAGAAACTGACTACAGTTTTGTTCTTAAACAGCCACTAACAGATGGTATTAGATATGATGCCACTTATGAAAGCATTGCATATAGCCTTTTTAATATATATTTTCAGTGCTGACAGCCCTATAATTACAGTCTCTACTTAGATTAGTGCCCACAAATATTTATCCAATGTCTCCTCTGATTATCGCCTGCCAACTGGTGTATGCCTTGTATAAACCTCATTTTTAGGCTTCACACACAAGTTCTGTAAAATACTGCATCATCATAAATTTTTTCTATTAAAAATATCTTAATACATGGAAAGAGCATTTAGTTAATGATTGCATTTAGCTTATCTAGATTGATTGATTGAATGACTTATTTTTACAGCTTATCAACCTTTTGTAGAAGCCAGAAAATATTTTTAGATTTGTAAGAATTTTTTGGAGATAATACTGATTTACTGATACAACTGCTAATTAACCTATAGCTGGGGGTGGATGATTGAAGAGATGGATTCATACCTTTCCAAAGCGTATATTTAGGTATAAATGAATATAATGAACCCAACTCTGTCCTTTAATTTCCAATTCTGAGCCGTTACATCACATGCTCATCATGCTTACAGCACCATGGTATTCCCAAGCGGTCACCTATCTAGGTACCAACCAGGCTCAACATTATGTAACTTTGGCGATCATACGAGAACCTGTGTTTCAATATGATATAGCTGTAAGCTTCTATCACATCACTTGAATATCCAAACTTACATACAGCATGTTAGTATTTCTAAGCAGTCACTCTAGGTGCTGACCAGGCTTGATGTTGCTTAATTTCAGTGATTGTACAAGAACTGGTATTTCAATGTGATATGGCTAGAAGCCTATCTGCTTATCTGGAGCATGTTGCTCAGTAGTTTGAAAGAAAATTGTTGAATGTTGTATACCATTTCTTTCAACGGCAACATTAATTTCCTTTCATTTAATATACCAAAAACTTAATTTACCTTTCCTTTATGCCGTGATATTTTTGAATGGTTTTGAGCATTCTCTTATTCAAAATTATTTTTCCTCTATATTACTTGTGTATAAATACTGATACGAAATAAAATTTCTACACAGTGCCTTGATAACATTCCTCAAGGAACAAAACATGTTGGCAAAAAAGGATTTCCTCTTGTCAGCTCTTTTAAATAAATATATGCAGACATTTATACACACATACACACTTTGCCACTTTATTTTAGTGGATTTATTTTCTAACAGAAAGGCTACATAGATTCCTGTCACATGTATTGCCATGTTCTTTGTTGAAGAAAGTCTTAAGAAACAAATTTAGGTTCTGCTACAATAATTATGCTTAATTTTACTTGAAATTATTTTGTTGTGTTCTTCATTGTTCTTCATGTCTATAAAAGGAAGACATAGATTGATATTGTAATTAATGGTTATCTGATGCACATTTGCTTTGTGCCTCAAATTGAGAGATGCAAAAAGAATAGAACAAAAAGACAGGTCTGAAGCCAACATGGCTACTCTTAGTTTTTTTTTTTACAGTGTGTGAGTCAGAAGATGTAAGCAAAAAGATTATTTAGGAACTTACATGAAGTTAATAGAATAGAAGAGAATTGGGTTCAATACGAGATGATAGATTTGGTTAAAATAAGGTTTTCTTTTTGCATACACACACACACACACACAATGGCTGGCTTGTTTCCATGTACATCCACCTTTTAGAGTGGCTTGTTATTCCATGTTCAGGTACATTTTTCAACACTTACAGAACCAACCTGTGGTTTATACTTAAACTATACTGAACAAATCATTCAGTTACTGGGAGAGAGTGTATAATCTGGCATGATCAGTAGTTGGACAAGGTCAGTACATGCAAACCCTTATTCACGATGACTTGAAACTTAATGCTCACTCAAACATCAATGGCTTCCAAATAATTTTGTCTAATCATTTTCAATCACGTTGAAACACTGGTTCTTGTATGATCACCGAAGTTAAGCAACATCAACCTGGTCAGTGCATGGATGGGTGACTGCTTGCAAAATACCAGGTACTGTAAGCTTGGATGTGTGGGTGGGCTAAATGAATAATGATTCGGAATTGTTAATCGAAGAGCAGAGTTCCAATTCCAGTTGGTTTTGTTATATTCACTTACATGCAAATACCCTTAGGAAAGGTATGAAATGACATCTCCCCCAGACATGGGTTAATTAATAAGTCTTGTATCACTAAAAACATTATTACCGCCCCCCCCCAAAAAAAAAACGAAATTGCAAAACATTTATATTTTGGCACAAAATAACCCATAACAGTTGATATGGTGCTAATCAAAACCAGTCAACCAAAATCATTTTCAATCACAAGGCTTGAGACATCCTATGTTATATCTCCAAGCTGATATTATAAAGTCACTTCTTTGAAAAGTCAACATTGGTTAGATTTGAACCCAGCTCTCATGCATGAAGCATTAATTTCCTAACCACTCAGATGTATATATTTATGTATATGTAATTGGAATGTGGTTCTACAGAAAGATGTTGCGAATAGCATGGGCCGAACCTGTGAGCAACAACAAGGTTTTGGAGAGAACAGAAACAAAAAGGAAACATACATAACATCAAGAAAAGGCAGTTGAAATTTCTGGGGGCATGTAATGAGGAAGGAGGGCTTGGAAAATTTGATACTCACGGAACAGATTGAGGGAAAGAGGGACAAAGGAAATCAGCGTGTAACATACTTAATTGGGCTTGAGCAAATGGATAGCAGAACAAGGTTTGGGAGAAATAACAAAAAGACAAAACTTATTAAGGGAGAGGAAGATGTAGAGGGCCATGGTCACTTATGTTCTGAAGGGACATGGCACATAAAAGAAGAATTGAAACTAAAGAGAAATGATTAAGAATGTTTTGCTTTCTTATTTACTTCTTTATTATCTTTGTTAAAAATCAAGAAGAAAAAATCCACTTTAGCATTAACTCTGTTCAATATTTTCAAAATCTATATTAAAATCCATTATAGATTATTTATTATTAACATGCAAAACATTTATCACTGCTTTTCACGATAACTCATAAAATGGCAATTCAATCAATATCTTTCTATAAGCAGCCATCTTTTTTTTTTCTGTTGCTACCACCATAAGCTTTAGTATACTACAACCACCAAATAAATCGTTATATCTGCCTGCTTCAAGCCACTTTATCTCTTTTCTAAATCATTTACCGTATATACTTCGGTATCATGTAACTTTTAAAGACCTAATTTTGAAGCTAATTTGACTACAGTAAATGAATATACAGTTTGTTCAATGGCATAGCTAGGGCCAGCAGTACATATGCTTATTTTATATCTTGTGTATGATACGACACCCTTAAAATTACTTTCAAAATTAGGGTTTCAGAAGTTGCATGATATGCAAGTATATATGGCAATTCAATTTGCATCCTCTCTTTTCTAAAATATTCTACCAAAGAAACAATATTGTAAGACTCTTCAAATATCAAATTATTATGTTTTCTTATTCTTTTCCCACAATAATATTTTGTGTTCCAAGTGTCGGGTGGGGGGGAGTAATTGGGAGAGAAAGAATTGAATTTTGACTGTAGACTTATTGAATTTAATTATTCTGTGTAATTTCTGGAATGAGGAGTTCTTATTATTTACATGCGGACTATTGTTCTTAGCTTTGTTGTTATCACAATGTTTTTTTTGTTGTGTCCTTCAGCCTTCATTAGGTGTACAGGTGTATGCCAGTTTTGGTAATGTACAGGAAGTTTCAAATTGAACACTTTATTCAATCTACAGAAGATTGTTCTTGTACAACTGCTTGTGTCTTGAGATATCTTGTCTAGTTCTTATTTAGTACAGCTCAGTTATTGCTTATCCCATTTTCTCTGAGTCCAAGTACACACTATATGACCCAGGAATTGAAGTTAATTACTATTTTACCAAATTCATGAACCAACGCTTTAATCTATTATATTACTCTACTTAAAACTATTTGTACTTTAAAAACATCCCGTGAATACAATGAGTTAA